ACCAAAACATTTTCAGACCAGAACATCTGGCAGACCAAAAGGATGCTAAGGACCTAAGGACCCTCTACTGTACTACCGTCCTCAATATTTGCAAACTTTACACTTATTTTCTAAATTTCTAGTTTTCTTTGAGGAGCCAGTTGGGTTTTGGAATATTTTCAGTATCAGTATAGTATTTTCAGTTTCAGTTTTTTCTATTGCTGTCTTTTGGGAATTCATCCCTCTGTTTGTCCTGGAGGCCATTGTCCACATACTGAAAAGTAGAGAAAATACAGAATCCAATATTTATTCTTTTTCTTCACTTTGAGGTTTTTTTTTTCTCACATGTCCTCTTGCATCTTCTGGAGAAGAGGAGAAAATTCTCCCTAGTGAGACACAGATAGCAAAAAGTAACATGACAGTGTTTTAGTCCCATCCTGCTGTATCCAAAACAAACAAAAAAATTTTACTATACATATACTTTCACACATGTCCGAAACATTTCTTTGCGGAGCTAATTCTTAATTCTAAACCCTTATTGACTACTTTAATAAATTAATATTTTAATGTGGAATTGGTTCAACAGTTCAATTTACATTGCTCTTAATCCAGTACACATATTTAAATCTGTAGAAAAATGTTATTTGCACATGTACAAAATGTGAAATGTAATTAGAGTTTTAATAAAGTATGCATATTTGCCTATTTATTTTAGTGGCAAGGACTAAGCAAATGGATTGTAAAGAATCATGATAGAATAAGGACGGTGAACTTTGAACTTAGCATAGTGAAGTAAATCATTTGAAATAAAAAAATAATATTAAAGGAGAAGAAACTAAGAAAAAAGACAAAGTAAATCAAATGAAAAAGCTTAATAATATAATGCTTTTAAGCAATGCCAGTTTGTGTTGCAGAAGCAACTGAGTGGAACTTTACAGATATCCTAGGCAGACAATACATCTGAGTAATATCTTAACAGTTGAATAACTTTCTTTTCAAACTAATCAAAGGTTCTGTTAAATGAGGTAAATGTGAAACTGCTGTTTATATACAAGGCTCTGCAATAATTTTATTTAGACCATGCAATAACAATAACTCAAGACTAGAGGCAGGAAGACAGCTCTAACCACTAACTTTCCAAGTGATTAATTTACTACAGAATGGGTGGCAGGACTTGTATTTATGGCATGTCAGGGGCTCTTTGACTGTGATTTCTCAGCAATGCTTATTCATTTACAGGCAATGGCTCTTCTATTACAAGGTTACTGTGGATCTATGAACAAATAATTCTGTTTTTCATCATTTTTTGTATTCTTTTTTAACTATTTTATTTTCACCAAGTGTATCTATCAAATTCCTTAGCATTTTATATTTTATCTTTGGCCTTATCTGGTAGCTGGAAAACATGTGTTACAAAATGTTTTGGTTGATTTATATATCAGCATGTAGCTGGTTGAATGTGTAGGCATGTGGGACTGGAGTTTCATTTGTTTAATGGAGCTCCTACCAGGAAGGCACATGATCTGCTTTTACTGCTGGCTGAACTCATAGGAAAGATAACTGAAGCTCTTGAGAATGTGATATGAAAACTAGCAAAAGGGATTTAAAGAATAAATATACTCCACAAGATATGCAGGAAAAGAGCAAAATACTAGTCCCCAAGTGTTGCATATGGTGTTCCTGCTGATGATATTTCTCCCATTACTGACTTACCATGCATTGTTCTGCACTGTGTGGAGTTGACCATCTTGGTAGATGCTTGGTTTTGCTTCCTCATGTGATTAAACTACCAGCAAAAAGATCAGTGAGCAACACAGTAATTACATCACCAAATCTCACTACAAGTCTTCTGATACTAGTAGTTAAAGGTAATATGTCATACAGCAGATAGTTCCCAGGCACACTTGTATACCAGCAGAATCTAAGACATGAGAACTTCTTGGTCATGGCACCAGCAACTAGGGAGTTCCTAATGCATGCCCCAGCATCTAAGAAATGAGCAGGTTGCCTTTGACCTACAACCTCCATCATAGCAGAGGCTGAGATCAGTCTGGGAATCTGTAATTTATCGATGAAAGTGGTGAAGGGGGTGCTTTTTCAAAGTGTGTGTATATTTACTTTGAAATATTTTTGTCTGTACTATTATAAAGGGGGCTTCCAGAATTTACTATATGCACCCCCTTTTTTTACCCCCATCTCATCTTTGAGGCATCAGGAGTGGAGAAGGGGCTCTTGTCCCTCATAGATAAGTTTGTTTTGGACAGGGCAGCAGCTATGTCTGCTTTAAAAATAAAATTAAAGGCACATAAGTCCACAATAATAATAAAAATCAGTAAATGGTTTAATTGCCCTAAAAGCTTGAAATCCGAAGTAAAATACAGATCCTAATCTTAACTTATGTAGTCCTTATCCCCATCCTTTCTGTACAACAGCTTCCAATACACTGACACTATGGATGCTGTGTGACAAATCTAACCGGGATAGGATATTTTGAAGGGAACTGCAGGCTAGGCTCTTACCTACTGACCATTGGCCCTGACATCTGAGGGGGCTCTATTCTTTGGGAGATGTGTACCTGGGGGACATTTTGGAGTAGTTTTACTGCAGATTCAAGTCCATATATTCCCAAAAAAACACACAGAATATGAGAACTGGAGGAACAGGATACAGGTTTGGGGTTTCTGTGCCCAAACCAGCATTGACTGCTTCAACTCCTCCCTCAGAGGCTCTTAGCAGATGTCAATATATTCAGCTCAAAACAACCTGATACTGAGGACTCTTGCTGTGATCTGTTTATTAATGTGTGATGTGTTTACTGTTGTGTATTTGTACCATTGTTAATTGAATCACCTATTGCTTGGTCCTCCTGGAGATTCCTACATAATGGGATTAGTCTGGTGTCAGCATTACCTCATTATCTAATGAGTGTGGGATGTTTATCCCAATGTGTAATTGTTTTTATTGTTCATGTTGGGACTGCCCCTATTTCTGAAGTGTATAAAAACCATTATCTCTGTTTTATAAAATGGTTCTAGTTCTGCACCTACGTTAGTGTCACCTAGTCTTGGGTGTGATGCCCATCCATAATACCTTGATCTTATGTCCCATTAGTGAGGAAGCAGTTCTCTGGAGGAATCACCCAATTGTAAACACCGGGTGTGGTGTCACATTTGGAGGCAGCAGTGGGATGATTGCTCCTTTTTATAGTATTGTCAGAATGTTACAGCTTCAGGCACCTAAAAAGATCATTGCTTCTGGCTCTGCCAAGTGGTCTTGGTTCTGAAACGTGGAAAAAATAAGATGAGAGGTTAATCAGCCATTGCTCAAGAGCAACCTCTCAAGGAACTCTGGTTGAGAGTGGCTGTCCTGTAGTAATGTATGAGCCATTGGAGGAAGAGTAGCAGGAATTCACACAAACCTTAAGTGTTGAGGCAGCTGAGGAGCAGCACTATGGAGGCTTTAAAAGATGTTACCAAGTTGAAACATTTCAGGTAGAAGCACAGAAAAACAAGTATTTTAAAATACTTACCTGCAGCATTTTCCTTTTTTTTAATTAACTTGCAATGTGCCTCTGAACATGCTAACAAATTTGGAGGGTGTAATTTCTTTACCTTCTATGTGATCACTGGGAGGAGAAGTGAATGTGAATACTATAGAGTCAGTAGAGTGATAGCTCAGAGTCGGTTGACATCACATTTAAGATGGCAGTGCCCAGCAACAATATCCGAGCTTTTGGATGTCTGTAGGCTTTCACATAACATACTGAAAAGGTGTTAAATGCACAAAAAATCTTATGGGAAGAATGTTGCTGAATAGTCTGGTGACCTGCTTTCTTACAAGACATGGGCTGACAAAAAGGTAAGTTTAGAGTGTCTTTCTGCAGTCATTGTCATTTGCTGTTTTTGATCCTGTAACCCAGGGTCACTTTAAAGTGCAGTTAAAACTTAGTATAGAATGGGATGCCATGACTTTTGGAACCTTTGTCAGGCAGACATTACATTAGATATACTGTGTTAGGCTTCCACTTTATCCCAAAGAATAGAGCCTTCTCAGATGCCAGGGCCCATGGTCAGTAGACAAGAGGCTAGCATGCAGTCCCCTCCAAAAGACCCTGTCCCGGTTGTCACACTCTGCACTTCCCCTTTCATAGTGAGGGGGCACATAACAAAGCCCATATTATTAATCCTTCTAAAACAGCTTAAAAAATGTCAAAGGTTCTTCCAGTGCATTATCAATACAATGAGTTTGGTCTGGTGAACTATTGCATAGTTTGGGAACCCAAACTTTAAAGAGGCTGGGTTCTCCTCAAACCCATAGTATACTGAACCCAAGCTTTATTCCTAATCATAGCATGTTATGCCTTTAAAACATACAATACATTTACTTTTCTTTGTATTAAAAATCTATCCACTTTTTTCTAAAAGATAAAACAGTGTGGAAATGACTCTACTGATTATGATTACACCACCCTCTGCATAGGCTGCTTTTTTTGGTATGCACTCCAACTAGAGCTGATATTCAGGGATCAGTGGGGTATGCATGAATTTTGCTATTGCACTTTGACTGTACTGGTTGTTAAACCGGTTCTTCGCCCTGTTTAAAAAAAAAAAAAATAATCAAAGGATACTCATCTGTCCAGGTGTCCTCACCTGAGCTGGTTCTTTGCCAGACTTCAGGTCCCTGGAGCCGGCTGTTTACTGTGGTCAGCCGGCTGTTCTTCTTTGCGGTTTGACAGTCGGATTCCCACTGTACTTGAGTGAGCCATGCTGCACTGCGCTTTGTGAATGGTCCTGCAGCCTTCTGGCTGGATGTGTCCCAGAAGGTTGTAGGCAGGCAGGGGGAGGGGGGAAGAAGAACCATTGCGATCAGCCTGGAAGTGGGAGCAGGTACCTGTCAAAACCAGGCACCCCCCCTAGAAAAAGTGCCCAAAAATAGAAGAGGGGGAGCAGAATGCAGAAGGTACTCTTTAGTTCTGCTTTAACATGTTTGTTATTTTGTGATTTTGGTTGTGAGACTGAGTGAGTGAAAATAAGAGTATAGAAAATGTTTCCAAAACACTCTAGAATGTATTGACTATAGGATATATATACAGTATATATATATTACAGGTATAAAAAAGGATGCTAGCGTGGCAGTACTGCTCGCAATGGTAAGTGGCAAGCGCATCCTATTACTGATAGGTGGCGCCCATGCTGCGGGCCAGACAACAGTATTAGTGCATGCATGAAACAGTGTGTGTTGATGAGGTTTCTTGTGAACAAAGGGGTAAAACCCATGGATATCTACAGAAGACTTCAAGCACAGTATGGTGATGAGACACTCAGCCACAGTAAGACACATTTGAATGGTGTAAACATTTCAAAGATGGCCATATGTCTGTCAGCGATGATCCTGGCCATGGTGGTTTCCAGCCCACAGCAGTCTTTCCTGCAAACATTCAGCATGTGGAATGCATGGTCCCGGATAATTGCAGCATAACCTGTTGTCAAATTGCACCAGAGACAAATATTTCTGTGGTGAGCATTTCAGCACTGACAACGAAGTGAAGCAGGCTGTCCTAGGAGGGTTCAGGCGTAATGACAAATCTTTCTGTGATGAAGCTTTCCAGGCATTAGTTAAACACTGGGATAAGTGTATAAATGTAGCAGGGGAGTATTTAAAAAAATAAATGCAGTCCCCACTCCTTGAAATTTGTTCTTTTATTATATAAACTCAGAAGTCCCGGATTGACTTGAACATTCCTCGTATATAATTCATATATGATATGATTCATACATTCATTAGAATCACATCCTCTGTAACAGAATGATAAATGTCTTGCGTCAAATTCATTGAATGCTAAAGGTGTGACATGCCACGTCATCTTAATTTGACATTCGGTCTTTGATAAATTAATATTTAATTATCTATATTTTAGCCTAGCTATAGGAGGAAATCTTGACCATTAAGAGTTTTTAAAAAATTGATCATATTTTTAAATCTGACTCCCAAGCTATGAAACGATTAGACAAAATGCTAGAACTCACTGGGGTCCAGGGGCGGACTGACCATTTGGAAACTCGGGCACTGCCCGAGGGACCGGGGTCAGTAGGGGGCCCCATGAGATGCCCCTGGTACCTTTTTCATAGGCTTTTTTGAGTTTGAGCAAGGACACAGGGGCCCCATGATCCCCTATTGCCCGGGGGCCCCATGAGTTGTCAGCCCGCCCCTGCTAGTGTCCACAATATTTCTATAAAATATTTTACACCCCTTACAGGAAGAACTTTTTTGCAAATATCTTCAAATAGGGTGATATTTGGGGAAATTGAGTTCAGCTGTAAAGACTTAATGAAATATGTAATCTGAGGAAAGAATTGTCTTTTTGCAATGCATATAATATCACTTGGCTGACCAGAGTTATATTTTACTTTATTCTGGATTAAAACTGAAATTAGATTTTTAATTGCTTAGCATAAGGGGAAAAAAAAAAAAAAACAAACCCTTTTGACAACTGCCTTATTTACAAAATATGAAATTGGTTATTGCAAAGTGACTGTCAGTGAATTCTCTAATGCAGTTAACTGGTTAAAAATCTTAGGTGTTTTTAGCCCTTACATATATTATTAGCTGGACTTCTCGGGGAAAGCTAAACTAATACATACAATTACTTCATCTCTGTAGTGAAGGTTTGAATTTTAGACACTGTCTCACAAGTTAGCCTGCAGTTTTTTGCTTGTGTATTCTTACCTGTTTGCTGCAGTGCTTTCCTGCCTTTTCATACGTATGTGTGGTTTGGCTGTGCTCACCTATGGGCATCACTTGCTATTCTTTGGGTTTTATTTCCTTCCATTCCATCACTACCTGACCCGTCTCAAAGTTTGCTTGCCTATATAAGACATGCTTAGTTCTAGCCCACATTGCCTGAGCAACTTCACAGTTCCCTCAGCTCCCTTTCATTGTTACTTCTGTTTCCTGTGCTTATCTACCCTTGTACCGACCCCGGCTTTGCTCACCGACTGTGCTTGTTTGCTACCCGTCCTGATCTAGGCTTGTCTCCTGGATTTCCTTTTGTCTGCTGCTGGTTGTATTCTACACATGCAAGTGGTCTCCACATCCTCAGCTGGGTGCACTTGGGAGCCACAACCTGGTTCCAGCTTGCTGCAAGTCCATCCCCACCATCAGGGGCTCTAGTGAAGAAGCAGGCTGGGGCTTAGACTCTGCACCTTGGGAACCCTGAGTTGGCAATCTACAAGGGCTCACTACCACAGACGCTTTACACACAACATCACCTGCCTGGAGTTTGCTTGTTCTCCCTGTGCCTGTATGGGTTTCTTCCAGGTACTCTGGTTTCCCCCCACACTCAAAAGACATGATGGTTAATTGGCTCCTGTCTAAACTGGCCCTAGTATGTGTATGTATGAATGTGAATTAGGGACCTTAGATTGTATGCTCCTTGAGGGTTAGGGACTGATGTGAATGTCCAATATGTATATATGAAAAGCGCTGCGTAAGTTGCTGGCATTATATAAGTACTGTAATGGGGTTAGCTCGGCAGCGGGTGTGTGTGACCCCCTGGATGGGTGCACAACACAAAAAGACAGGCACAGCACAACAACAGTGGAGGTGAAAACAAACAGGTGCAATTTATTTACAATATTTACAGAAAAATGGTAAACCAAAAAGAAACATCAAAATAAATCCTGGCCAACTTGGCTACTTACTGCAACAGCAGCTTTCCCTAGCTACCCACTAGGTACAGCCTGCTGCTATACCTAGTTGCTAGTACTTGGAGGCTAGCCACACAGGCTTTGGTCTCTCTGCACACAGATAAGAGGTCAGCTCCCCAGACAGTTCAGGCACAGATCTGGTTCCAGGTTGGAGCAACTCCCTAAGCACTCTGGGAAGTTTTATACAGGTCTTAATGAGCCCACTACTTTCAGCTGGGCTCATTACCTCAGTGCTGAAGGACTCAGCACTTCCCTCTAGTGGAACAAATCCCCATAAAGCCTGATCCTCGGACAAATGTATCGTCCATCCAAAACGCAACCAGGGGATTTCACCTGCCTACTGTCACAGTACCTTAAATAAAAATTACCTTTAATTTAAAATCCACCTCCAGGCTAAATTTTTTTTTGAGAAGCTCCCCCAGGAGGGGGAGGCAATACCCATTTTTTTCAGCACTGTCCCATGCAGTAATCTATTTTTGCTACGAGTTGCCTTCAGTATTTCAGGTTGAATGATGACAAGCATCAATCCATCCAAAAGACTGAGAACATACTGCATATGCAGGGAATCATAGATCTGCCCCTCAAGGGGTGTCAGCATGGTGCCATTCATACCAATGTAATGATGCAGTATACCTGAGGAATGCCCAACCTCAGTGAAGAGGCAAATAGTAAGAGGACCCCGTAGGTCATGTAACTGGCCTGAAGGCAACCAGAAAAGGTAAATATTGTGAGAACTAGCATCAAATGGTAGAGCTTTTACAGCACACAGCCACTCGCTTTCTTCTTTTTTTTAACGGCCTTTTAGCACAATTTTATTTAAAGAAAAGTTCCATACAATATGTTTCCCATGCAGTGGTATCCACAATCCATACAAATGAAACAAATATTCAGCCTCCTGGCTCTCTTATGTATACAACCCCTTGCTGTTCTGGCTCCCACCTCTCCTAGACCTCCTGTCTGCCGGGGTGGAGCCTAGAATCATGGTTTGGCCTCTACAAAAGAGCCTGCACACACCTGTGCAATTAGTGAAAACACGGACCCAGGATTGGAGATTCCATCCCTCCCAAATCACTTAGAAATCTCCAGGCCACAGGTCCCAAAATGGGCTGTACGAACCAACGAGGAAACTGACAAACTACTTTCCTTTGCATTAAGAGAACTGCCTGGAGCCCCTCAACCTGTATAGTCGAGAATCCTGGGTTATAACCTTGATTTAGACTGTGGCAGGATACCGCACTGCCACAATATTTATTAAAATAAATATGATTTTGCTGGGGATTCCTTTTCCTGGGGATTCCATGTTGCAAAAATGAATACACCCCAATGAAAGTCTTAGGAGCAAAGCTAAATTTTAGACAACAAAATCCTAATTGGAAAGAATTCAATGACAGATGAATCACATTATTCATTAAACAGGTGTCCAGCAGACAGTTGATTATAAAAGGGCATTACTTCACAAAAAAAAACCTTTCCCATTTCATGCTGTCAGCAGTGGCACCACATGTAAGAGAAATGTCACAAGGCCTGAGAAAAATAATCATTTCTTTACACAAGAAAGGTGAAGGCTACAAGAAAATCATCAAAGCTTTACTTATCAGTCAGAATACTGTTGCAAAAGTGATACAAAAATTAAAGTATGGAATTGCAACCATCTCACAGAGATGTCCAGGCCATCCATGGAAGTAACCACCTGGACAGAAGGGTTAACTTCCATGACAAGGGTTGAAGAAAATCACCATGCAAGTTCCCTGAAGTTAGATAAAGAAGCAGAAAGCCAAACTGGGGTGATTGTTTCCTGAGACACAATACGGTATACACTGCAGAGGAATGGCATGCATGAGTGTTGTCAATGAAGGAAGCCTCTGCTAAAGCCCATGCACAAAAAAGGCAGCCTAGAATTTGCCAGAGTCCATGCTGAAAAAGAAGACTACTGGGGCTCTGTACTCAGGTGTGATGATACCAAGATAAATGTTTTTGGAACTGATGGCTTGAAAACTGTATGGCATCGCAAAGGTAAGAAGTACAAAGAAAAATGCATGGTGCCTACAGTGAAACATGGCAGTGGCAGTGTCCTTCTGTGGGGCTGCATGAGTGCTTCTGGTGTTGGGGAGTTGCATTTCATTGATGGTATCATGAATCCACAGAAGTACTGCTCTATATTGATAGAGAAGATGGTACTATTACTTTGTGTCCTTGGTCATCATGCACTTTAAGAATGACAATGATTGAAAAACACACATCTAAGGCCACTGTTGCATTTCTGAAGAAGAACAGGATGCAAGTAATTCAGAAGAACAGGGTGAAAGTCTCCTGATCTGAACCCATGGGGAATTCTGAAAAGACAAGTTGATCATCACTCTCCATCAATCAACCTGGCTCTAAAAGAGGTCGTTCTTGAAGAATAGAAAAAGACAAATGTTACAATATGTCACCAACGTGTTCATTCCATGCCTAGAAGACTTGGTGCTGTCCTTACAAATCATGGAGGTCAAAATACTAAATACTAGATGTAGTAGTTATTGTTGTGGATTATATTCCTTTTTGCATCAACTAATTTGAGTAAAACTGAAGATTTTGTAATCTAAGTTATATTATTAACCTTACTCTCATATAACAAGCTAAACAAATGTTCTATAAAACTCAGTTTTGTCAAAAGTTTGGAAATTGTGCTTGTGTTCATTGAGATATTGATTAAAATCTTACTTTTCAAAAGGGGTGTACTCATTTATGCTGAGCACTGTGTATATGTATATGTGTGTGTATATATATATATATATATATATATATATATATATATATATACATACACTATATTGCCAAAAATATTGGGACACCCCTCCAAATCATTGGATTCAGGAGTTCAAATTACCTTCATGGCCACGGGTGTATAAAATCAAGCACCTAGGCATGCAGACTGCTTCTACAAACATTTGTGAAAGAATGGGTCGCTCTCAGGAGCTCAGTGATTTCAAGCATGGTACTGTGATAGGTTGCCACCTGTGCAAAAGGTTCATCCGTAAAATGTTCTTGCTACTAAATATGCCACAGTCAACTGTTAGTGCAATTATAACAAAGTGGAAGCAACTTGGATCAACAGTAACTCTGCTGCAAAGTGGAAGGCCATGTAAAATGACAGAGCAGGGGGTCAGCGCATGCTAAAGCGCACAGTGAGCAAAAGTCGCCAACTGTCTGCAGAGTCAAGAGCTAGAGACCTCCAAACTTCATGTGACCTTCAGATTAGCACAACAGTGCATAGAGAGCTTCATGGAATGGATTTCCATGGCCGAGCAGTTGCATCCAAGCCTTACCTCACCAAGTGCAATGCAAAGCATTAGATGCACGCCACCACTGAACTCTAGAGCAGTGGAGGTGTGTTCCCTGGAGTGACAAATCATACATCTCTGTCTGGCAATCCGATGGACGTGTCTGGGTTTGGTGGTTTCCAGGAGAATGGTACTTGCTTGACTGCATTGTGCCAAGTGTA